TATATATATATATATAATTTTTTATGTTTGCTATATGTGAAAGTTATTTGTGAATTACCATCGTATTAGAATCAGTTTGTATTTTACCAGCTAAACCATTTTCGGTTAGTAACTTTTATTAAAATCTAACAAAATAATAAATCGATTAAAATGGAAAAAATATAAATAATAAATTTTAATCTCATTGATAAATCAATTATGATTTCCATAAACATAAACTTTTTAAACTAACGGGCTAACATTATCCAAATTTTCTCTCAATTAGTTACTATTGATTCGATAAATATCTCCTACGATTTTTGCCTCCTTGACCCTCTCTCAATTGAAAATTCATAAATACTAGGATTATTACACATGCCATCATTCTCTCTCATATTTTTTTTTAAAACTTTGTTACTCAATTGACACACTCCATTATGTAAATTAATTTATATTATAATATTTATACAGAATTCATATAGTACTAAAGGGAAAATACATAAAATTTCCCCTGAACTTGGCGGGAAAACTCACTTTAGCACTTTATATTTACGGGTAATTATTTACCCCCCGAATCTATTTTCATGTGAATGAAAATACACCCTAATATTATAATATCAGTCTCAAAAAAGCAAGTACATCCCACACGCTTCATATCATTGAGATGTCAGTGTCACGTCATCGTCACATCAGCATCACATTAAGTATACTTAAATTTTGATTTTTAATTCTTCTTTTTTTTAATTTGTTCACAATTTAAGAAAGTAAGAAAAATCTCAAAAATTAAGAATTAATCCATGATTATAATAAAAATAATCTAAAAAAAAGTTAATTGAAACAGATTCAAAATTTCAAAATCATTCTCACAAGAACACTCAATTTTTAAGACACAAAATTAAAACAAATAAATAATAACAACTAAATTGAAATGAAAAATTTGTAGAGTTCTGTTGAAAATTGCTTTAAGTTCATCACATTCAAACGTTGCCATAAAGACTAATCTTAATTTGAAGCAAAACAAATTGATGACTTTTCAATTTCCCTTGTTCATCACATTTTTGGGGTTTATTGGTAGAAATTAAAGGAAATGAGGGTGGGATGGAGCGTTTGAAGAAGGAAAAAAATATAAAAGGTTTAACAAATAAAAAGAAGAAGAAGAAAAGTGTGAAGCACCGAGATTCGAAGAGAAATAAAGCGGGTAAGAGTGGGGGTTCATTTGGGGGAGGGGGGGGGATGTCGAAGAAGAAGAAAGGGTAGTTCAAGTGGTGGTTGAGGGCAAAAGGAGTGGAATGGGTGTGAAGTCAATGAAGGGACAGGAGGTGGGGGTGGGGTTGATGGTACTAAAGATTGGGGGTAGTAAAGTATGAAGAAGATGAAGAAAAAAAAGACTATTGGATTAAATGAAAACAATTGGGGTACAGTTATTCTTTTTTTTTTTTTGTTTTATTTTTTGTCTTTACGCCCCCTTTTTTTTTTTGACTTGTCATGTTAGTGATTTGGGTGTATTTTAATTCACTTAAAATGATATTAGGGGGTAAATAATTTCCCGTAAAGTTAAAGTGCTAAAATGAGTTTTGCTACCAAGTGCAGAGGGGATTTATGTATTTTTCTAATGCTAAAACATATTTGTACAAAATTTGGTAAAATTTGGTAGAAAAAATTACGTAAAAGAGTTTGTGTACCATACTTTTTATGCAATTCATAGAATTATATATTTTTATGTATCGAGTAGAATAAAAAATTATGTAAATTTTTTACCATTTTCTATATCCATTCCATACAATATGTGTGTATTTTTATATATGGAGTAATATTTTTTGGCAAATCAATTTATATGCCATATTATATATCCATTACATACAAAACATACTTATATAACTTTATTTAAAAAGGAGTAAGTAAATTAGTTTGTATATCATATTATATACCATTTTTATTCACTAATACATATGGTAAATAACATGATTAAGAAAAAGCAAACAAATTTTTATACCATACTATATTGTGAATTCCATATAATATATAGTTCAACAAAATCAATTTTCATATAAATTAAATACACATGCCAGTATTAAAAAAAAATTATTACTACTCCTCCACTCTAACATTGCTTCATTAGGAAACTGAAACTTGATTACTCGATATAGCTGTCAATATGGGCAGACCTGTTGGGCCGGCTTGGCCTAATAGAGAATCTAATAGGGTCGGGCTATAATTTATGGAGCCCATTTATAGTTCATTTAATAAAAGAGCTTGTTAGACCGGCCTAAATAAGCATGTTAATTTGTGGGGGTTGAGAGATACTGGTCGGCCCGTGGACCAATAAAAACTAATTAAAAAATATAATATAATATTAAAATTTAAAAATAAATAGAGTTCAAACTCAAACAATTAGGTTAATATTTTTATTTAAATATCTATACTTTACTAGAAAAAATAATTAATAAATATTATAAAAATAATTTTATTTGTGGATTTGATTAATAAGTAGAAACATTAATATCATGTAATATTTTTTTATCGATATTTATGATAATATTTATAATTTAATAAATAATTACAAAAAAATATAATTTTTTAAAAAGTGGACTGGCTCGGCAAATATGTAGCCAAAAACTTGTGGGTTGGACCAAACTTTTTTTGGCCCACACTAAAAATGGGCTAATCCGGCCTAACCCATAAAATGTCAAAGTCTATATGGATTAGCCCGAATTGGGTGGGCTAGACCATATTGAAAGCTCTACTACTCGAGATCTACAATCGACTGAGGCATAACAATTATAAAGTCAGTTCATATCTAGAACTACATAAAAATCCATCATGTCTAAGCTCAACTAAGTCAATCATAATGTCTTTGGGATAGACAAAAATGGTATCATCATGACAGACTATTTCTGCTAAGAAAGATTCACCAACAGTTGTGGATACAGTAAAGGGCCTACGAAGTTGTTCGGGAGAAATATCAAACTTTATGAATACATAAGGAGTCACAAAAAACAAACTCGCACTTGGAATTAAAAGTTGAGAATTTGGCAAGTTTTGAGTGTTAAAGGCTAAGTTGTTAAGAAAGTAGTTTTTGATGTCTTTTGTAGTTTCGAGTTTCAGATTGAAATTTCGTCGAGTTCACCAGTCCCTAAATGTGAAATTGAATATGTGAAAGTTTAGGGTTTTGGTTTTCAAGTCTTTTCGAGGATTTAAGGTCCTAAATTGTGAAATAATGGAATTTTAGCCTTTTGGTTGACTTTAGTCAAAATTCGAGGTTCAGATACTCGAATCAAAATTTTTAGAGTTTTGATGGATTCAGGGGATAGTTTTTGGCCTAGATGAGATGATTTTTAAGGGTACTGAACTTGTTTTAGCCTTTAGGTGTGAGTTAATTTCTTCTGACTTTCACGGAGGCCGAGTCGAGGAGACCTCGAATTTGTGTTTGACGATTTCATTGAGTACAGAACGTCGAGTATTATTTGATTTGCATATGTGATTTGTGTGTACAGGGTAAGTACTTAATCTCAAATCCTTTTAATGTTTGAGTGTTGGCTGATTTTATTATTTTGTACCAAGTGATTTAGTTCAATTAAAATTTTACTATTTCTATAATAATTTAACGTAAAAGGGCCTAAAATACCCTTGAAGTATTAAAAATGGTACAAAATTACCCTTCATCCACCTGTTGGCTCCAAAATGCCATTTTCATCCACCTATTGGCTCCAAAATTCCCTTGTCATCCACCTTTGGATTCAAAATTGGCCACTTTTTTAATTGTTTTAAAATTAAACTCTTGAAATATTTTTTAAAAAACTTGGCGTTCAACTATTGGTTATAATTTTAATTTATTAATATAATTTATAAATCAACCCATTACCCACGCATTACTAACTAAAACCACACCCAATTAATAATCTAATAATAATATCAAAATCGTCATAAACACTTCTAAAATACGATGAAATTATAGATTCCTGAAAATGACATTCAAAATTATTCGAGTCCGAATCGAAGCCCCAATTAAATTTAGGTTGAGCCGCTTATTTAGGAGGACACTTTCTTTCAAAATTGAATTAGAAATTTATGATTCAAGGTAAAGAAGTATATACATCCCAAATTAATTCATGCACTTTTTAAAATATAATTTTATAAATATTTATGATTTGTTTTAAACACTTTAATATATTATTTTAAAAAAAAGTTACCTATGAAGTAACATCACATAATTAACACGTAAGAATAATTAAGATGAACATAGTCAGGCTTTTACGTTTATCAGTGATTTTTATTTAGTCACTTGAATGTATGATAATTTACTTCTATAATTTTTAAAAAACACTCAATTGGCAGTAGCTTGCATTAATAATGTTACATGTTTATTAATTTAGAGGGATTTAATTAGTAATGGGTGGGTAGTGGATTGATATATAAATTATAATAATAAGTTAAATTATAACAAATAGTTGAGCCCCACGTATTTTAAAAAATATTTAAATAGTTTAAATGTAAAACCGTTAAATAAGTGGTCAATTTTGAACCAAAAGGTGGATGACAAGGGTATTTTGGACCCAATAGGTGGGTGAGAAGGATATTTTAGAGTCAATAGGTAGATGGAGGGTAATTTTGTACCATTTCCAATACTTTAAGGGGTCGTTTGGTAGAGTGTATAAAAACAATGCAAAATAGGGTGTATTAGTAATACTTGCATTACTAGTGCTTGCATTAGTAATACTTACATTAGTTATGTCTGCATTATTTCTTATATACTGTTTGATTTGATGTATTATAAAAAACAAATCTTACATAATTTCTATTTAAAAAGTGTATGTTTACAAAAATACCCTTTACACTTTATTTCTTTATATATTTTTTTTGCAACAAGGTTCTTTGCTAAAACATCAAAAAAAGATTTCTTTGCTGAAACATTATTTCTTCCTATTCTTCTTCTTTTTCAAATATAAAATTAAAAAGTTGTTACTACATTGAAATAAGATTAAAAAGGAAGAAGAAGAAGAAGATGTCAAACATCTTCACAATTTTGCCACCATAAGTCCAAAAGTTCAACTTATTCATATGCAAAGGAATCATTCAAATAAATACTCCAATCCAACAAAAAAAAACTAAAAATTCAAAGATTTTTCACTTTTCACACACCCAAAAACCTCTACAAAACTTCACATAAATTCCCCATCCATTCACCAATGTTCCAAATTTTCTCAACTTCACCAATCGAGATCGCAGAAAAACAGCACAAATTCACCAACATCATCTGACCTTTATCAACAAAAATTAAATTAAATTAATCAAAATCCAACAACAAAAATGATTAAATCAATAAAAAAAACTGATATAGATTCAAAAAAAAAAGATAATTCAGGTTATTCTGGAATGTTAAAGCTTGGATCACCCCTACTAAAGCTCAAAATTATGAGTAAAGAGAGAGAAAATAAAAATGAAGAAAGAGATGTTGAAAAATACAGATTTTAATGAAAGATAAGAGTACTAACCTTATGAAGATGAGCAAACAATGTTTGATTGAGCAAAAGGAAGAAAAATCTACTCTTTCATTGACAAAGTACACAGAAGATGAAAGAGAAGATGAAACAAGTACTATGGAAAATGTTTTTTTAAATGGCTTTGAGGGTATTTTTGTAATTGCATAATCTAGTGCAAGTGTAAAAATGCTATTTATTACTAATACCTAAAATTTCTTGGTATTAGTAATACACAACTTAATACACAATTATACATGACCCAAAAAAAATGTAACAAACAATGTATTACTAATACACACACCTAATGCATGTATTGTTTTTCCTAATACCCTCTACCAAACGACCCCTAAAGATATTTTAGGTCCTTTTCCGATAATTTAATGACAAAGGACATATGTATAAATCATGTGTCTAGTCACTAATAGATATTATAGTACTAGATGTCTAATGCCCGTGTTGCGCACGAGCCTAACACGTGATTTGGAGTTTTACAGAGATGTGTGTGAAAGAAAATTATGAACTTATTGATCTTGAAAGGGCAAAATGAAATTACACACTTTCTGGTCTTGGTATGTAGCAATCAGACATAATCAATTAAAATGTAAATTTTCTAAAGGAATATCGAAGAAAATCCAATTGAACAAGGGGCCTTATTAAAAAACTATACTCCTTAAGTAGTATATTGTGGTGCAAAATTTATTTCAAACTTCATCAGATGAAATTTAAAATCTAACAGATGTGCCTGTTCACCCAAAACGAGGCCTTACTCCAATTCACTATTTCCTTCATCTAGGCGTCTCTCCATCATTTACCTTTTACTTATATGGGAGAAACAATTTATATCCTTGAGTGCATATAGTCGTTTTAATGATTGATGAATGTCTTTGGACCAATTTTAGTGAAATCAATGACTTTGACAATGCAGGTATACAATTGAAGCTACCACTTTATATCTTCAAGCCAAATTAGGGAGAAATTTTCTTTCCATTTACTCTAAAAGAGTAAACATATATCAACTTCACATTAGCATGAGAAACAGAGAACTATACAAATACATCCAACATAAAATACAACATATTCGGCGTAATCCCACTTGTGGGGTCTAGCGAGGATAAGATGTATGTAGACTTTACTCCTATGTACCTAATCCCTATCTTAGTGTTTTTGATAGGCTGTAAAATAAATTTCTATCACATCAAGTGGTTCACACCTCTATTACCTATATTATGTCAAAAGAATTTTTTGAATTTCAAACTAAAAATAACTATATGTTAGTTCCTAGGAAGAAAAGAGTCTTACAGTAGCTCGTCAATCATAACTTTTCAGATTACGCCAAGTAAAAATACTTCTGTTGGCCGGTCTTCGAATTAAAAATTCTAGAAAATTTGCTTACACATTCATTACAACAGTCATAAAGGAATCAGTGAAGCAATATATGCATGTCTATGAAAAATGATTATGGTATTCATCTAATAGTTATATGATTCACTTGAATTCATTGTTTTTTCCCCTAAACGTATGGTACATCGTTTGAGAAATGATGAGGAAATATATAAATAGAGAAGACGATTATTCTCAAAGTTTAACTTGGATGAAAACCTAGAAACAGAAGAAATAGGGAGAAGAACAGTTATGGGATTGCTCAGACAACAGAATTTGAATAAAATGAAAACTAAAAGAGGCCGGCGGAAAACTCCAATTAAATTATGAGATTATGGTGAAAATCTAGATGAACACCAAATTCTAGCATATAGTTCGTGTTGAAGTGTATCACAAACTTCAACAGTGAAGCATTTTCAAAGTTATAAAAATTCACAAAGGAAAACTACACATCAAAATTACATACGTGCACTATAAAGAGCTCCAATGAGAGTTGCTACAAGTGTAATGCATAGGAAATTGTACTTGAAAGTGTCTAAATGGCATCCCTAAAATAAAAGGCAGAGCAGCAGTTGGCAATCACAAAATTATTTCTCGACTCACGTGAGTTGAGCTACCTTGACATATAAAGTGAAAGTAGGCTGAAACAGACAAATTTATTGAAAAGTCTTTTGTTGTTTTCTTTATGTATGATGCATGTGCCCTATTTTTATCAGACTATTCTTATCGTTTTGTAAAATTTGAATGGTTTATCTTAAAAATAAAATTCCTCAGAAATTATTGAAATCATTAGATCACGTCTAAGTCATGTTGACAAATATATGAGAGTGACCAAGTAGAACAATGGTTTTAAACTTTATTTTCTTAGAATTCCCACCCCACCCACACACAAAAGATCAATTCTCTTTGGTGGTTGGGAGAACCAATTGTCATCAAATGATAAAAATGAAAGATGTTAAAGGAAGCACAAGGTGCAATGCCCAAATTCAGTATTACAATAACTTGAGATTCAAGATTGGACGACATTATTAATAACTCCAATGAGAATGACAACAAGTATGATGCATATTTTAGGGACGAACACCAAATATTAAAATTTAAGCTTTCGCGAAATGGAAAAAAAAAATCTACAAAGTTAGAAAACACAAATAAAATGCTATGGACACCAAACACTTTTGTCTTCCTCTTCGATACCAGCGCAACATTGACGCAGTGGCTGAACAACAGTGAATCCACTAGCCACGTAAGTAGCATAAGAAAGTATTGTCAAAAGTCTATAATGCCCCTATTTCTAATTTAATTGACAATTAACATACAAGTTGATACCATAGCTCTATTCATTCTTCTGCTATAGTAGAAAGAAAGTAGAATAAGAATCTGAAATAAAAAATTGCAAAAATACTCCAAATAAAAAATTGAAGAATTCATTTCAATTGAAAAGTTTACAAGGATAAAAGGAAAAAAAAAGTCAAAAAGTTAAAACCTATTCTACCAAAATCATTGACCTCAAGATAATAATATTAGTATTTCTTGTATATCCTTTTTATAGTTTGTAATTGATGAGTTTCTTGTGTTTATATACAAAACGAAGTTTGTTCTTTTTTTCTAAATCACAGGAATTTCCTACATTTTTATTTTTACTATATATTTCCTTTTATCCATCTCTGTTTTTAGGTAATGCCTCTTCCAATATCTCTTTATCTAACTAAAAATATGATTATTACAATATAATTAATAACAGACTTTTGTGAACATCTAATTTTTGATCAAATTTAAAGCTTTACACAATTTTTAATTCCTTATATAATTCTTTTAGATGTAAATTAGATATTTTATTTTTATCGCATTTTATTTAGTTTATTTTAAAATATTTTAAAACTAAAAATAAGAGTTGAATTATTAATGTATGTTTTGTTTTAAAGAAAACAAATTTATAAAATATAGGTTTCTTTTATTTTTAATTTAAAAAATACGCTAGTATTTATTACTTATAAATTCATTATTAGCTAATCAATTTTGGTTGGAAAAAAACAAAAAAAAATGGTATATATCATATTATATTATCAAAATATAAAATATAAAATATTATTTGATTTCATAATTATGTAAGACATGACCTCAATGTTATAAATTTATTTAAATTTGGCGTTATAACATGAAATAGGTTGAGATTTTGTATGTTATTGAATTCGAAGTGAAATTTTGATGTGATATGTGATTATTATTATTTTTATTCCCAAAGATTTAATTTTCTTGATGTACCATATATCAATAGTTGTAACTCTGTTTGTAAGAAATTTTTACTTTATTACTGTCATGAACATATTTTATTTTATTTTGTTTGGAATTGAAGCTCGTGTTCTAAGTTGTTAAATTGAATTGAATTTAAGAAGGCCAATTTAAGATTTTTTTTAAGCAAAAATTAATAATTTTGAAGATTATCTAGTCAATGAGTGTTTAATAATAATGAAGGAAAAAGTTTATTAAATAAAATCTGATCATAATGATGAGTAACAAAATACTGTTTGCATAAAATTTTGAAGTGTTGAAGATAAATAATGACATTTAAATGTTAATTGGGAACATGATATAAAAAAAAGATTCAACACTTTGAGAAATTATGTGTAATTGATTTTTCCTTGTGCCCTAGAAATAAGCAATTTCCTAAATATGCATGCAAATGATGTATACTTTCATAATTTTAATTAGTTTTGCGCATTTCTTAAATCTTCTTTTTAAATAATAAGATTGATAATTAATATTATATCTAATTGAACGGCTAGAAACATGATTAGGCCGATAATATTTTAAAACTAACTTTGCCATCTGAAGTGCATTATATAACTTTCTTTATAAACTAGTAGATTAAGCCACATCATTCAAGGTTTTGGAGTTTACTTAAGTAAGTAACTTACGAAATTTACAGGAAGTAAAATTATAGGACTGCAAATTTTTTAGGTTTCATACACAATTGGGTTGTATCTTGTTCTTTACCATATTGTGCAACCAAAAGGCAGTTAGAAATAGTTTAGAGCGAAAGCTAGTGGTAGATTAGTGCGCGATTCTGAGACAACTTATATGACAGTTCATATAGTATCCAAGAAGTGAACAAGCGGGTAAATAACTCATTTGGTCAATAAATAAAAAATATTCAAAAACTTAAGATAAATAAATTTAAATAAAGTCGTAAAAAAGTGAATATTTACATGCTCAAATTCTAGTTATCCCCATCATCTGTCACAACCCTATTTTTCCCAAACAATGTGTTGAAAAAAAGGTTTTTCCAAACTAAAGTGACTATTTTGAAAATGGATTATCACTTTGAATTGAGTTTTGATATTCCAAGTCACCTAATTTTGATCCCTAATCAAAAGGAAATGACCATATTTTTTTATTGCTTTGCAAACTAGAAATATGCACAAGGAATTTGATTGAACAATGAGTAGGTATCAGGCACCCCTCGAGTCCGTGGTTCTAGCACGACCGCTTTTTGACTTATATTTAAATAAAAATGTTTATGTCCCACCATCTTTGATTTGTTATGAACTCCATGATAATTGTCATATTTTATTAGTGTGCAATATTGGAAGAAGCGCTTCCCAACCCTACCACTAATTATTTATTTATCTATACAATTTCATCTTATATCTTGTAATTGCACACCCTGACATTACCCCCCCCCCCCCTCCTTGACGTAAACACGAAATCTAGAATGATGAGTGATCTCAAGATAACCCTTACCTTACATATCATAACTAGAATTGAATATATTTATGAAAGATAAACTAAGGCAGAAGCTAAATCATGATATAACTAATAGTGGGGAACACCCAAAAATTGGTTTAAATATAAAGATATTGAATAAAAGTTTAATGATACTGAAGAATCACTCAATTCTAAAGACGAATATAAATCATGTCCGAAAAATCCTCTAATTGGCTAAAGTTG